GCACCACGATCCACTGAACTGGGCTCAGAGCCTCTGAATGGGGATATTCATATGGAGATGATGGAGGGGACAATGCTCAGCTCCTAGGAGTGGGAGTGGGGTTATTTGTTATGTGACCAAGCTAGGTGCATGTCATCAAGCTGATTGGCTCCATTCAACGCACTGGGGAAAGAACGGGGATATGCTGAGTACTCAGAGTAAGCTCCAAATGGGACCCATCTTGAGTGGTACCTGAGCATTTGGAACCCCTGCTGAAGTTCCTGCAAGTTACAGATACTCAGCCTCATTCAGGATTTGGGCCATAGGGAACGTAGTCAGATGATGGAATGAGAACTGAGTGACAGATGGGCCCGTTAGAAACTCAGATTTGCTGTTGAAATACTAGAGATGCAAAGCTCTAAGAGAAGACTGGAAAACTGCAGCATGCACAATACTAGGATAATACCCCCAACAGCCACTACTCTTCATACTGCATATAGCATATAACCGTCCAGACTCCAGGAGACGCTGACACCCCCGCTAAATTAGAACGGAGGGTCACTGTTCACATGAATGTCTTACAGCTGGCTAGCCGGACAGACATTGCGCTGATGTCCAGCCTGCTGTGTGCTTGGGAGTGGACAGTAATGAAATGCCAGGCTATGGGGTTTTGAAAAGCTGGCTGTACAGGAGACGGCATCCCTCAGTGCTCAGGGACCTAGGAAGGGGAGCAAATTCCATTGCCCCATGGACCAGCCTACACAGCGCCTACTGCAAGGCACGGCTCCATCTGCTTGAGCGGGCCACGGCAGTAAAGAACCAGTTTCCACAACAGCGCAGCCCTCTAAATGCTACGCAAGTCTAACGGGTACAGCAGCTTCTTGGCATTTCAAACAGGAGCCAACAGTCTGGGAAAAAAATTACTACTAATGTTCCATCAATGATGAGTCACGGGGCTGAGGTTTTGATTTTGGACTGTGGGTGTTTTTGGTCCTTTGAACTAGCAGGCCCCCACCTTCTCCCCGTGGGACTGCCGGGAGCCCAGGGGTGAACATCGCAGCACTGCGGACCCAGTCTGGAGGTTTGCTCTCTGCAGTCAGCTAGGGTGGGATGCTGCTCAGCTCCGGTGCAGAGTGTTGCACGCACAAGTGCAAGGCAAATAGTAGTGAGCAGGGCATTCATGAGAGTATGGCAGCACAGCTGCCAAGCTCCCCATGACTAGTAGCAGGAGAGCAAGTCTGAGGCGGGAGGTGGGGCGGGGGGGAGGGAAGCCTGAGAAAATAGCACTGTCACACCCATCCCTTTTCTGCCCTTTGACCTGCAAGTAAGGGAGTGGGCAAGGAGAGCGTCGTCTGCTGAGTACGGAAGATTGCACGTTGTTTGAGTTTGACTTCACTTGTGTTGATACTTAGCATCCGCTCACACATGCACTGGAGCATGAGCAGCCAGCACACCCTGCCGTGTATCACATAACGATCACGGCCCACAGCTGGGTAGTGCTCACACTGAGCGGTTCTACTAGCAACACTTACGTCATTCTTACCAAAGTTCCGACCTGGCCCATCACTGGACCAACCACACGCCCCTTCTCACGACTGAGCCATGTGGCACTCTGCACGTGCGTGCATGCGCGCAGATAAGGACTTGATTCTGAAAAGCGCGGAGCACTCTGGTTCTGATCCAAGGAGGCACTTAAGCATATGCTTAATTTAAGCATGTGTACAAGTCTCTCTGATGTTCTCAGGCCACTGCAGGATCAAGACCTACTTGTCCTGTCCCCCCGCCCCCTTAAACACAGGCCTACAACAATCAGCAGTAATAATATATAGCAGGGGAAATAACTCCAACGAGGAAAATATGTGACCTCTCTTTATACTCCCTAACCCTAAATCTGCTGCTGCTTGAACTAAGGGACTGGAGACTTTGGAACCAAACATTCGTATTTGCCTTTTCTGAGCAATCCTAATCTTCAAAACCTGTCATATCTTATCAAGAAACCAGAAGCAGCAGCCCAGGCTCCAGACTACGCTGTCTTTACGGGTTGCTTGCTCATGGGAGAGTACACTTGGCACAGCGTTATCCCGGAATAAAAGATTTACTTACTGACCAAAAGTCCCAGCTGAGGGAGGGTCCAGGGATTCCACTGTTGTGTGCATTTGCATTAACATACTGCACAATACATTTAAGAAGCTTTCCTTTATACCTTGATAAATGTCTGTGATTTTTCCAGTGCAATCTTAAGAAGGCTTTTGATAAAGAGAAAAGATAAGATTAGCTTTTGGGTGTCCTTTTCCGGGCTATGATTAAGCCACCCATACTTTGCAATTTTCATAGTGGATTTTCTGGTTCATTAGAGACTTTTCAAGATTCCTAGGATCAATACTGTGCTCGTGAAAATAAGGCCAAGTTCAAAAGGAGAGGGGTTTTGTTTTGTTTTACAGAGATAACCATTTGACTTCTTGCTAAAACTTCCTGGCTAGAAGTTCATCAGCTAAACTAACAACAGTGAAGAATGGACCTCTTTGTTACCCAGAAACTGAATTTTGTGGTTTTAGTAGGAAAAGCATTTTTGGTGATCAAAGCTAAAGTAAAAAAATAGTAGTGGCTTGATGCTAGATCCAAAGTTTTCTTATTTTTGGAACAGGAGTTAAATGCACACTTCAGTTTCTTAGATACACGGAGAAGGCATGGCAGACATAAGTTTTATATATCATTGCATATACGTAAGTTGCACCAGAAACTAAACAGAACAAATTATGGCACTTACATTGTTCTAAGTTACGTTTTTCACTTCCTGGTTGACAACACGCATGGGTTAACTTCAATGAAACTCTTATCCTCTATCTGTGATCATGGCCACTGGGAGACAATAAATCACCTAGCCCCAGACTCTTATTAAGAGTTGCACCATTTGAAACTACACAGAGGGAGAGAAGTATCCAATTTCAGTGCAACCCTGGTCACGTTATCATTATGTTGTTCAAGTAAAAGCTAAAATCTCTCTTCTACTGCGGAAAACCTTCCAGACGTCCAACTCAGATAACACAGTAACTAAACCAATACCATCCATAGGAGCTCTGTTTCTAAAATTAACGGTTATTATCAAATTGCCATAAAAGCTAGGGACATCGGAAGCATTATGAACTTGTACACAGCACAAGGAATTTGTTAGAAATTGCAAACATATATGTATTACAATGAAACTCAAAACAATCCCAACTCCCCGCTATCAAGTTTTCCCCTGCTATGGACAATTGACAACAGGCACATTGGATCCAGTATATCAAAACACTAAGACGTATTCAACTGTACCAAAAGAATCCTAAAGGGCAATGAAAATGAAAAATGTATAAGGGAGACGTGCTCTACAACACCATGTACCTCTTCAAAATGCCATGTGGTATGGAACTATTTAAACGGCCTAAGAAATACATCGCTCTCCCAAAGCTTGTGATAAATTCTTTGACAAGATCAAAGGAGTAGGGCGAAGAGGCAGTCTCCTGACACTATTATACAGGCGACAGCACCTCAACTGATATTTTGATTATTCAGTCCCCTAGGGGGAGCCACAATTCTCTGATGATCTTTAAGAATGTCTGTCATCCCAATAACCAGCAAAATCGGGATTAGGAAAACAAAGGGACAAGAAAGCTCATACCCTTTGGTGTATTTAAAAATTGAGCCTTGCCAATCTGTGCTAGCCTTGTCACTGAACGAAACAAACAAGACTAATCTCGAATACTGCACTACATGTGAGCTGCATTAACAGCCACTGCCAAAACTAATTAAAAGTAGCTGTATCTTTCAGATATGTAATTGTTCAGGTGTGATAAAACAGTACTACTAGGCAAAGGAGCCATAAGGACTAGAGCAGCAGCTCCCAGACTTTATTGGTTCATGAACCACTGTTTTAAAAACTGCTGTGAATGGATGGAACATCAAGCTCACGTATCATTATGGTTTGGGCACACCTGCACTAGAGGATATACCGCATAGGGCAATCACAGGCTGGCCAAGGAATGGGCAAGTTGACCTAACAGACATGAATTCTATGATTCTGTGAACTGTTACAAAAGAACGCTCAAGGGACGCTCACTTGGTCAGTGCATGTGCCATTGGTAGAACATGAAAGGTTCCCCAGCCATTCCGCCAACATTTTATCCCTGCTATCTGAGGTTCACCATCAACTGTAATACGTCATCGTTGGCATAAAAACTAGGTCTGAGCCTGTGAACAGTGCTCTCCCACCCCAAATTTACAAGCTGAAAGAATAGTTCGGCCCACCACTCCGCTGCAGGAAGTGGAGTTACACCCTAGTTCCTGTCCAAAGCAGCTTACAATCTAAGTCTCCAAGCCTACAAGTCTTGCCAGCAAGTCAACCTCTCGGCCTATGGCCTACGTGAAGCCCCGTTAAAATCAATGAGGTTCCGTACAGATGGTGGGGAGCCAATTCCAGAAGAATGGCCTATGGGCCTGATTTTGCAAACTCTTGCTCACTGGCTTCAACAGGACTGTATGGGATAGTAAATTCTGCTCACCTGAGCAAGCGTTTGCACACTAAATCCTGAAACACAACAGTTAATTCATGCTGTAAATATTCACCAGGGACAGTATAAAAAACTCCATTAAATCTGAACTGCCCGTTCATTCTTTTTATTATAAAATATCTGGCGCTTAGAGACCATTCTTAACTCCCCCTCCTGTGTCAAGGTTTGAGTAGGATCTTTTAACAGTGGGTGATTTTATCACCCTCCAGAGTAGGAATGGAGTTCCTGCCCTAACTCCGAATCTCCTTGCTTTTCCAAGCGTGCGTCATACAATTAACAACATTTTAATACAGCTTGGAGTTTGCGAATAGCTCTATTCAACCAACCAACTTGAACAGCCCCTTCGATTTTTTTCTGTTTTCCCTGAGAATCTCACATACAGAACTACATTTAATTCTGCTTTTCTGCTAAAACCAGCAAGTACAGCTCCAACACAATAACCATTCAACTGCTGATGTGTTAAGGTCTGCCAACCTGAGAATTCTCCCGGGGTGGTGTTTGGTGAGTTAGTAGCCTCTGTTTCAGTGTAAGACAACGTGGAATCTGATAGATCTGGAAAACAGAAGGAGAACATTCAGTACTGTTGTGCCACAAGCGCTGTGCACCCACTCACGGACATACTGTGCCACTTTGCCTGCCCACACCTTCCAGAGTGAAGCTACTGCTGACCCAGGGCGGAAAGTAAGTGCTTTACTTCTCTTCTCTGACAGGCAAAAATGAAAAGTTTCAATTGCTTTGACCACAAAAATAACTACAGTTCAGTTGATTAAACAAGTAGAAACTTGGTGCGTACTGGATAAAGTTACGTTAAGCCTCTAAACAATTCATAGTTACTATACTTAATTATCACCATTAAAATTCTTGAAGCTGTTTATTCTTGCTTCTTTCCTTCCTTCCTCTTTGCTGAAGCTAAGGAAACTTTGTTTTAACAAGTTAAGAGGCCTTGTTATGCTCTTGCTTACCCCTTTAATTAAGCGCTCAAATGTTTGCTCACAGATTATTTTTTCAGTCAAATAAACCCGTGAAGTACATCGCACTGTTTTCCATACCTGCAGCACAAGTAGCTTCTAAAAGGAATTAATTTTGAGCTTTTTTTTTTATGTAATGTCAGCTTAGACGACCAGCCCTTTCATTTTCCGGGACACTCTTATGGCTGGACCTCTGGTGTGACCCATTAGCCATGACGCATACTATCCTCAACTGCAAAAAACACGGTGAGTTACTTCTCTGGGTGAGGTTGTGCCTCTCAGCAAGGGGTGGCAAATGCACTGCACCACCCCAAGTGTAGTCCCAGGAAGCACTGTGACTCAAACACCCCGCCAGGACACAGCTCCCTCCCGAATTCCCTTGCTCTGGGGGTTAGTAATTTGCTGCTGGCCCAGACCATCAGGGAATTATGAAACTTCCCACCAGCTCAGCTGGCACTGCCCACCCTCCCTGCCTACCTGCTCCAGGATGTAGAGTAGTGGTGGGCAACCTGCGGCCCGTCAGGATAATCCGCTGGCGGGCCGTGTGCGGCCCGCGGGCTGCAGGTTGCCCACCACTGATGTAGAGAGTACCAGGCACACAACACCCATGTGCTCCTAGCCCGGCCCAAGGTCTGAATAGCCTGCGCAAAGGGTGTAAAGAAGGTTCTCCTTTCCCATTAGGCCTCTGCATAGTTGCACTGTGCACGCCATGGTCCAGCCTTTGGCTTTTGTTGGGATTTTTTTGGTTGCTCAGTTTTCTTGTTAGCTTGTTCTGGGGTTTTTAGAAAAGATCAAAGGCGCCATTTTGAACTCTTTACTCAGTCCTTTGGGTCTGACTCTACCTCCTGTATGACCCCACAATTCCCAGTCTGGTGTTCCTGGGTGCACCTCTCTAAACCCCTTTGAGACCTCAGAGTAATGTATTTGCCAAGTGTGTCCTTATCTATTTGGCAAATACTGAATGTTTCCTCATCCCGCCCGCTCTGTGATTCTAACAGCTCTGTGGTGAACATGTCTCTCTCTGTGTGTACTTCCTCTTTTGTGAACCAGCATTACTGACCACGGGAGAACTGGAGGAGTAAGATACCACTCAAAGTGACTATCATTGGAAGAATCTGGCCCATTGCCTACAGAGTCTCTCAAAAAAAACACATCAAACTTCCCCCCTTTGAGGTGCACTTGTTACTTCCTATTTACCTGGATACCGTGAAAGCCAGGGCAGAATTTGGCACAGCGTCTACTAAGGGAATATATGCTTTGGAAGGCATTGGCTATTGAATTTTGCCAATTTTAAAGTAGGTCACATTTTATGCCTCACTGTGACCAGATTTATTTCAATGATACTTTTAAAAGTCGGAATAATTCATTGGAAAAAATTAAATTCCATTCAAATGTTTTACAGTATGGAGCTTAAAGAGCTCATGTCTCAGTTTAATAAACACTATACTAATAATGCTTAGCGCTTACGTAGCACTCTTCGTCTTGAGATCTTAAAGAACTTTACAGTGAAAGTATAATCTTCCCTATTTTACAGGGTGATAGGCCTCAGGTGAGAGAAGCAGGACAGTTACAGAGCTGGGGATAGATCCCAGGAGTTCTGACCCCCACTCCAGTCTGCAATTCAATCTAGTATCCAATAAAAAAATTAAGTCTGATAACCAGTCATTACACCTTCATTAATAATGACAGTGTTTCACCTGAATGCAGATTATTCTGAAAAATACAGATGTAGCAAAGAATGTGTATTAATATATAAAACCATTGGGAATAAAGATATGATAAAAAAAACATACAGATTATTTTATTTTTATTCATGTATTTCTGATAACTTGTCAGCTGATGCTTGTTCAGAATTAGTGATGACCTCCACGTTCCTACATTTTGACATTTGCCTGACACACCAGGCTGGAAATGACCCCAGTAGAAAACAATACAACATTTTGGTTATGAACTGTGAATGTCCTAAGAGTTTGTAAAGAGAAAATACTTACCCAGTGGCTTTTGCTCGTCATGAGGAGACAGCCGAGAATAAGGAGGCGGGGGAGACTCTGGAAAAACAAGACCTCATATTAGTGCTATATCAGGTTAAAAGTTCAAACCCTCAAGTTTTCCCTCCTAGGAAGTAATATTTTGGTGGTAAGGTAAATCCCCATTTATAACATGGCAGAAAAGTCATATGCAAATAACTCTTGGCCAAGATATTTCAAAAGCAGCTGGCGATTTTTGGTGCCCAATTTAACACACCTGTAAGGGGTTTCCAAAAGCGCTGAGCACCCACCCTCTAGAAATCAGGCTCCTTTAGGTTAGGGCATCTCCAAAAATCCAGTTACCCAAAATCATCAGTCCCTTTTGAAAAGCTTGGCTTTTATCAACTGGTCATCTGTCTAAAATAATCCTGTTTCAAAACATAAACATGGGTTTAACAAGAATTCGCTGGATATTGTGTCAAAGAGTAAGAAACTGCATAGCATAAATAAAAAGACACTATCTTAGGACATAAAAGAGAACATTATGATCCAGATTCTGATCTCATTCACACCAACGTAAATCCAGTAAACCCAATTAAGCAACTTAGGTCTGTCCCTATAACTTCCTAGATAGAATAAAAGGTCAGAAGTAATAGCCTACCATAATGGCATGTTATCCAATCTAGCAACACTACACCAGCCTTGATTCAACAAAGTACTTAAGCATGTGCTTAGCTTTAAACAGGAGTAGGTCTACTGACCGTTGACTTAAAGTTGAGCATGTGCTTAAATGCTTCTTTGAATCCGGGCCACCTACATAGCTCTTGGACCACTTACATAGATAAGGACTACTCAAGAAAATAATGGTTGTATGATAATGCCCTTTAATTGGTCAGACTTTTCTTTCATTGATCAGGCTTGAATAATGAGAGTATAGCAGTAGGAATATTCTACCTACCACCTGACCAAGATGGTGACAGTGACTGTGAAATGCTCAGAAAGATTAGAGAGGCTACAAAAAGAGAAAACCCAATGATGGGGGATTTCAACTATCTCCGTTTTGACTGTCACCTCAGGACCGAATGAAGAGATAACATTTTTAGACACATTAATGATTGCTTTTTGGAGCAGCTAGTTCTGGAACCCACGAGGGGAGAGGCAATTCTTGATTCTGTCCTAAGTGGCACACAGGATGCGGTCCAGGAGATGAATATAGCTGAACCTCATGGTAATAGCAACCATAATGTAATTAAATTTAACATCTTTGTAGGGAGGAAAATAGCAAAGAAACACACCACATTTAACTTCAAAAGGGGGAACTACACAAAAACAAGGAGGCTAGTTAAAAAGAAATTAAAAGGAACAGTCACAGGTGTGAAATGCCTGCAAACTGCATGGACCTTTTTTAAAAACACCATAAGAGAGTCAAACTATATGTATACCCCAAATTTAAAAACAAACAAACAAACAAACAAACAGAGGACCACAAAAATTGCTATCATGGCTAAACAACAGAGTAAAAAAAATTATTTTAAAAATTGGAAGTCATATCCTACTGAGGAAAATACAAAGGAACATAAACTCTGGCAAGTAAAGTGTAAAAGTATAATCAGACAGGCCAAAAAGAATTTGAAGAGCAGCTAGCAAAAGACATAAAAACTAACAGCAAAATTGTTTTTAAGTACATCAGAATCAGGAAGCCTGCCAAACAATCAGTGGGGCCACTGGAAGATGAAGTGCTAAAGGAGCACTCAAGGAAGACAAGGCCATTGCAGAAAAGCTAAATGAATTCTTTACACCGCAGAGGATGTGAGGGAGATTCCCACACCTGAGCCTTTCTTTTTAGGTGACAAATCGAGGAACTGTCCCAGACTAAGGTGTCAATAGAGGAAGTTCTGAAACAAAGTGATCCATTAAACAGTAGTAAGTCAACACAGCCAGATGGAATTCACCCAAGAGTTCTGAAGGAATTCAGACATGAAATCACAGAATTAACAACTGTGGTATTTAACCTATCACTTAAATCAGCCTTTGTACCAGATGACTGGCGGACAGATAATATAATGCCGATTTTTTTAAAAGGCTCCAGAGGCGATCCTGACAATTACAGGCTGGTAAGCCTAACTTCAGTACCAGGCAAATTGGTTGAAACTACAGTAAAGAACAGAATTGTCACACACATAGGTGAACACAATATGTTGGAGAAGAGTCAACATGGCTTTTATAAAAGGAACTCATGCCTTGCCAATCTATTTGAATTCTTTGAGGGGGTCAACAAACATGTGGACAAGCATGATCCAGTAGATATAGTGTACTTGGACCTTTAGAAAGGTTTTCACAAGGTCCTTCACAAAAGGCTCTTAAAGTAAGCAGTCATGGGAGAAAAGGGAAGGTCCTCTCATGGATCAGTAACTGGTTAAAAGATACAAAAGAAAGGGCAGGAATAAATGGTCAGTTTTCACAGTGGAGAGAGGTAAATAGTATGGTCCCCCAAGGATCTGCAGTGGGACCAGTGCTGTTCAACATATTCATAAGTGATCTGGAAAAAAGGGTAAACAATGAGGTCACAAAGTTTGCAGATAAGGGATAGAAAATATCATAATGACATTGTATAAATCCATGGTACATCCACACCTTGAATACTGCGTGCAGTTCTGGTCAATCCATCTCAAAAAATATATCAGAATTGGAAAAGGTACAGAGATGGGCAACAAAAATGATTAGGGGTATGGAACAGCAGCCACTGGAGGATTAAAAAGACTGGCACTGTTCAGCTTAGAAAAGAGAAGACTAATGGGGGATATGATAGAAATGTATAAAATCATGAATGATGAGGAGAAACTGGGTGTTATTTACCCATTCACACAACACAAGAATTAGGGGGTCACCCAACTAAATTAATAGAGAGCAGGTTTAAAAACAAAGGAAGTTTTTCTTCACATGATGCACAGTCAACCTGTGGGACTCGTTGCCGATGTTGTGACTGTCAAAAGTATAACTGGGTTCACAAAAGAATTAGATACGTTCACAGAGGTCCATTAATGGCTATCAGCCAAGATAGTCAGGGACACAGCCTCATGCTCTAGGTGTCCCTAAACCTCTGACTGCCAGAAGCTTGGACTGCATGACAGGGGATGGATCACTTGATAAACTGACCCACCAGGGCCATTCTTATGTTCTTTCTTTTTTTTTGTTATATAAATTTGCTTTCAAGAATGTAACATTCTAAAAAGTGAGAGCCAAGTGCTATTGGCAGGGTCATATCAGTTAATTCCTGTTAAGCAGAAATTCCCACTGGCTTCAATGAGGAGTTCTGCTTAAAATTCAATGGCCTAATGTGGCCCCCAGATTATTGAGATTAGCGTGTGTTCTTCAGTTGTCTACAGTGACCTGAAAACAAACGGTTTTGGCAACACAATGACCCCCTAACCTATCTGCAGTTCAGTTTGGATCACTATTAAAAATAACCTCAATCTCCACAGTGTGATGGTTTTGATTTGGACTGCAGTCATTTACTGCTTCTGCAGAGAGGAAAGGTCCTACATCTTGAAATGAGCACCAGTAACCATAATAAAACAAGAGCACACAATTCTCTTACTCTGCTCCAGTGCACAGGATCTGCACAGCCAAGACCACTTTCTCCCAAGTATTTAAGAGCCTCAAAGAACAAAAAAAAAAAAAGTAGCCAACATTCCAGATTGTGGTGATTCTAAAGGAATAGGATCTAATTGCATTAGTTGTGTCTGCAAAATGTACTTCTTATATTCTAAAAACAGACCTATCGCTGCACTAGATTTCCTCTGTCACAGCACAGACAGCATTTTCACACCCTTCTGCTATTTACACACTGTAAACCTAGTGATAAAGGGTTGGGTATACGATGTGAACACACACATCAGAATCCAGAGTAGGCAGACAGACATGTTTGAAGAAAGGGCATCAAGGCCAGATCCAACTCTTACAGATTCTCATTTCCAGATTGCCCTCAATGGGAGCAAAATCCAGCCCCAAGTGGGTGGGTCCCAACACAAATTGGCAGTATGAAAATGATAAAAAGACCGTTAAGAGCTGTGCTGTTTCTTTGTGGTTTTAATTCTACGTTGTTTGGAAAGCTTTTATGTAAAAAAGGAACTTGTAAATTTCTACAGATGTAGCCTTCTCTAAGGTAAATGTAAATGCACATCTGCTACAATTAAAATGTGATTTCATGTTCAGGCACCTAATAATCTTCTGGGGAAAGAACTGCATTAGTTCTCTGCATAAAATACAGTCATTTCTTACCAACAAATGGCACAGAGCGAAACAGGATTTCTGCTTGCAAAATAAATAAATAAATAAAATAAAAGCTCTTCCCAAGAAAAAGTAACATTAACATGATATTTAATGTCCTTCCGGATTTCTGTTCGTAACAAACTAAAACAGCATTTATGCATGAGCTAATGAACCTCAAGAAACTTCAGACTACGTGAAAGTTGAGAATTTTCTTTGGTCAGGACTTTCCATCTTGGAATCTCTTTCATTCTTCTAGTCTCACCCTGTATTTTTACACAGAAAATGGATAACTAACCTCCATTATTTAGGGTGGGCTATTTGGTTCACTCTGCCAGGTTTTCTTTGCACTAAAACAGCTATCACAAAGGATTATGTACTTTCCCCCACCCCTAAAGCCTAAACTGGCTGGAAGAAGTTAAAAAAGGGGTCACTACAGCTTTAAGACAGGCAGCCGTAATTGCCTAGATCCCCAGTCAGTCAGATAAACAGCTAGTCAGACTGGCGCCAGCAATATGCAAACTGCATATTATCACCACTTCTTCACCTAAATAGCAGAGGGGGACCCTCCTTAGGAAAAAAAGGGCTTTTTAAGTACAACTTGAAACTGATCTCAATTCAAAGGGGATAATGCCAGGCCCAATAAAAGAAAAGTTTTTGTCTGTTTAATGCCTGTATTCTTTGCTTCGGCAAACCTATGTTTTTCTAGGCTGCCTTCTAAAGTCACTTAAAAGTTGTGTCTCCTTCAGTGTGATTTAGATACTAGTAATTTTGTGACTATAATTACAGCAAAATAACAAACGGGGAAGCAAAGAGACTGGGGTTTATTCCTAGATCATGGAGCTTTTGGGAGAAGGGGCTTTAAAAACATCAGTTGTATTCGTGATTAAAGTATTTCTTAAAATGTCCATCCACAGATATGAAACGTGTCTCTGATCTGTTGGGTTAAAGGCAGGCACCTTTGAAAGGAGTACAGACCTCTCCAAAGCACTGATCTCAGCAAATACACGGCTCTGGGAGTTTTCCTGCTGTCTCAAAATGGGGGGCAAAGACCGGGGGAGTGCCACTCTTTCTGGCGTCTTTTTAAAAGCATGTTTGGAGAAGGAGCCCAAGGAAAAAAGTCCAGTTTGTCTCCCTCAATGACAGAAACTACACCGAGCCTTATCAAGCCACGCATCAATGAGTGCCAGCTATGTGCACCATGCAACCAGAGCCCAGCCGCCTTCTGAAAGAGGGGCTGCTGGCTCCCTTTGGGGAGGGCTAGCTCGGAAAGGGGTGACTGGAAGGGGGTATGAGACTTTCTCCAGCTCTGGGAGCCTTCGGCCTCTTTGATCCCCCCCCCCCCTTGTTTATAAACCCCTCATCCTCACACAGGCAAACTCCAGTGTTGGGGGTTAATTCATTCCGGGGAGCTGCCTGGCCGGCTGTGTCATGCCTAAAAGTGAACAGCAAACTGAGTAGATTAAAGCTACAAACTCACCATGGGCTTTGCCTCGTGTAGGGTCTATTGCCCCAACGGGCTGCTACCTCTCCCTCCCTGCCTAAACACACACACATGCTACTGGGACAGTTGTGGCCCCTGGGGGACAAAAACAACAGATCTCAGCAAGTAGGTAGACCAGCACCAGGGGAGCAGGTGAAATGGGTCTCAGCCGGCTCTCACCAAGATACCAGGGCAATAGAGCTTGCCATGTTTGCCCCACGCCACCAGAACTCACTTGCCTGTTGTCATGTGGCTTGTGCAGACCAGCAGGGTGCAAGGGGGCTGGGGCTGAGACCTACTACTGGGGACCTGCATGGCTTCTGTGGAGCTCACAATTTGATCAGCAGCAATTGAGAGCAGCCTTCTTCCTCCCTCTGCACTAGTGCCTCCTACTGGCCTTTGCACAATGGGAGGCTACAAGGGAGACAGAGGCTGCGGGGGGGTGTCTATGCTGGGTTGCCTGAAAATGCACACACAGTTCCAGTGCACTGAGGCATTCTCAAACTCCTTGAATGGGTGGAAAAATACGATTCATAACATCAACTGGCTGGCTGCGTATTAAGAGTGTTTCCTTGACTCCATTTGGAAACAATGGTGCAATTCATAGACTACACCAAAGCGGTGAAAATCAGGAGGAAGTTCAGACCTGACATACAGACGTAGGTACAACATATTATGCACACGGGAAAAGGTTCAGCACCTTCCTAAAATCCACTCCAGCAGGGCTAGGGCTAAACAGCTACACAGAAAGTGTGAAGGCGTTTAACTGCAAGAGGTTTGGAGATCCCACACCAGCCACTGCACTGTTGAACACTATCCCATTGTGAATTATCAACAGCTAAATTTCAACACAGGCTTCTAAAACATATGTGATGGGCTACTGATACAAGCTGAGAAGCATTATATCTTAAACCTAAATCAGGGTACAAATCATCTTAATTAAAACAGAAAATAATGCTCCTGGTGTTGCTAGAACTAAAATATTCCTTCCCACTTTAGTTTTGGTTGGTTGGTTGTTTTAAACACCTAACTCGCCGATCATACCATCTTTCCCTTTTATGAAAAAAAAAACCTCTGGGGATGAATAGTTCCTGATGGCTGCCTACACAGAAAACTACAATCTAATCCAAAAAGGGTACTGAAATATGAGCAAAAAGGTGGTGTTGTCAATTTTCTTGGCGTTAGGGCTTTTGGCTTGTGTAGGCCTTTATGCATCTTTGCATCTTCCCCTTAACTCTCAAGCCTAGATAGGGTTAGATCCTTAAAGCACCAGTGATAGGCATGTTTTGATCGAGGTATCAGATTCAAGTGCTAGTTATTGCGGCTAATCTGAGGCAGATCTGGCAGATTTTGCTCATGGTTAAAACAAAAAATCCTGCAAAGACTCGTACTTGGGGGTGGGGGTGGAAGAGGACAGACAAAAATAACAACTGACCCAGCCCTAGCCAGGTGCACCTGGGTTGGCCAACCATCTGTATTCAAACGTACATCGTACGTGGCGATTAAACCACGCGGGGACTTTCGAGGAGGGCTCCCCAACACCTGGCTTAGAAATCGGGCTAATCTCCGTGCCATTCTCCCCACAGCTGGACGGGGCGCGATCTCTGCTCTCGGGCTGGGGTGGGGGACTGCCATGCTTAGGGCTCCCAGACCGGGGTGGGTGTGAAACCACCCAGCGCCCCGGCTCCCCTAGGCGGGATGTCTCTGCGCTCCCCCAAGGGAGACCCCCCCATCCCAGACCTCCGCGGGGCCGCTCCTTACCTGGCCCACAGAGCCGGCTGAAGTGGTAGGGGTTGCAGCAGACCGTGGGGCTCTCGGCCAGCCCGAAGCTCTGGCACTCGCACAGCGGTTTCAGCTCCGCCGGGTGCTGCAGGTCCGGCCAGCGGAACAGCTTGCCCAGGAGCAGCTGCGGGGCCGCCGCCTGGCCCCCCAGGCGCAGCTCGGTGCGGGAGACCAGGACGCAGCCGCTGGGCATCCCCCCTCGGGACTCCACCGCCTCCACCAGGCTGTCCAGCGACCGCTCCTTCAGCCGCTTCAGCAGCGAGTAGGTGACGGACTTGAGCTCCTGCTCCAGCAGCAGGAGCCGGGACCGGGCCTCCCGGCTGCGGGGCTCCGGGGGGGCTCGCAGCGGGAAGTCGCCAGACCGCAGCTCCCTGTCCCGGGAGGAGGCGCCCGCGGGCCTGGGGCTGCCCGGCTCCCGCTCCTTGAAGAGGCAGCAAGTCACGGTTTTGCATTCGCTCTCCTGTGCCCACCACGGGCTCTCCTCTTCCCCGTCCTCCTCCTGCTGCTGCTGCCCGGGGCCGCCCCGGGGCCCATCCCGCGCCGCCATGGGGCTCCCCCTGCCCTCCTGGCCCGGCTCCCAGGCGCACAGCTCCGCTGGGTCCCTCGCCAGGTTGCGGGTTACCGTGCGGATTTCCGAGGAGGGGTTTTTCTCCGGGGTTTTGCTGCGGCTGGTGCCCCCACCGTGGTCCTGGCTCTGCCTGGAGCTCCCATCTGCCCCTTCCCTGTCCGGGATGACACGGCTTCTCCAAAGTCGCCGCACAAGCCCTGAGCGTTTGGACCTGAACATACGACAGCTCGGAGCTGGTAATTTCGGGGGTTGGGGTGGGGGGGGGGGTGGATTTTTATTTGATGCCCGCTCCTGCCCCGGCGCAAGCCCCGCGATCGCCACCACGCATGGAGCGGCGGCCCCTCGCAGCGCCGCGCAAAAGCCTTGCCCAGCGAATCGCCGATAGATTGCAACAAGGCTGCAACATGAGGGAGACTGCGGGGAGGGGAGGAAGAAAGGGCCGAGAAGGCTACATCGACACACACTGGGGGTCGCCTGCCAACGCTCCTTTTGCAGCGGCTGACCCGGGAAACGCTCAGGAGATGCCCTACATTGACTAGCAATTTACAGCCCGAGCTAAAGCAGCCAGAGGGGTCACAGGCAAACGCGGCTGCTGCTTCCCAAACACAAATCCTGCCTTGCAAACTAGCCCCATCAACTGGGTTTCTTTGCCATTAAAACCGTGAAAGGGGAGAGGTGGCAAATCCCAAACGGCTGCTCTGGATCAGTAAACTTGCACCAGGTCCTAGACTTGGCGTTGTTTCCCTTTAAAAAAAAAAAAAATAAGACCACGCACGTTTCAACACATGAATGGAAATTGTAAATATCCCGGAGAGAGCTGCTGGAAATCCTTAATTAAGGAAAACAAAACACACCAAAAATCCAATCCACTCTCCTGCACGTTGGAGCGCCTGGAATATAGGGTCCTGGAGCAGCCCCCACCCCAAAAAGTGACTGCTGCTTGCTCTGTTGCGATGGGATCTGTTTAAACAGCACTGTGCCTTTCTTTCTTTCCCCTTCTCCCTCTCCCTCGCTCTCTCTTTCTCTCTCTCTTTTTTGTTCTTCTAAAACACACACAGGGCCCCCTAGGAGAGAACTGGAGTCATTGGCTGCCTCCCATCATGTGCCAGTCTAGACACTTTGGCGGCGCTCTGTGCACTGATTGTTGCGCAAACAAGGTTTCAAGTTTCTTAACTCTTAAAGGAAAACACGTCCCTCGCAAAGGCGCAGGCACGGGGGAAGGGTATGTGGGGGCATCTTCGTTCCCCGCCGGCGTGACAGCCCGCCAGCCCCTTCACACACACACTGGCCGTTTGCTAAAAGATGGACCCCGAGCAAAAATGTTAGGGGAAATCTGGGGATCAAAACAAAGTGCTTGCAGGTGGAGGGAAAACTCTTCCGCTGAACTCTGGTGTCAGGAGGAACGTGCGGTGTGTGGCGCATCTGGTCTTGTTTCAGCTGGTAAATGCGGAGTCATATTTATAGCATCCACAACCCCTCATTTTTTAATTGTATAAAAAGCAGTGCCTTGCCCATGCCATCCTTAATCACTGGCGGCTGAAGAAGGCTTTGATCTTGCTTGGCAAAAGCAGGAGGATAATGCATGGGCATGGACCAACAGCGAATCCCCACTGAACTAACCCTCACTGCAGGGGGGAAGAAAATACGTGTCTTTTCATGCTTTGACGACCCAGGAAGTGAGCCCCCCTCTTTGCAGATCAGCTAAGCCACTTTTTAGCTTAAACCAAAAGTACCTCTGTTAAAATGTTTTCTCTTCCTGCTGGATACACATGTATTTCCAAGAAGCGCTTCCCAGGGACACCGTTGAGTTACGAGGCTGCTTTTTATTGATGTTATACACAGTAACTCATACACAACCTTCAGGTCTTTTGTTTAGGTTTTATTAATTATTGGTCGTCTATGGAGGACGAGGCTTATTGAAGTAGTAGTGCGGGAGCAATCGTTCTGCAATTCATCACCAAGCCTTTAATCTGTCAATTTCACTTTGACCCAGTCATGTAACATTTCACTTGAAATAACTTTCTGTTTAATATTAATTTACAACCTCCCCACTAGGGTGGCGGGTTGTTTTGTTTTGTTTTTGTTTTTTTCTCCAATTGGCCTTTTTGTTTTCTGGTTTAAGATGCTGCGCCGTTTTACAATTACACTAGGAAAACTAGGTCAGGAAAGCATGTCTAAACTATGAATGTTCTCGCTAGAAGTTCAGCACATGAAGAGTTAATGTAGTTTCCTCCACTGGAGTCAGGGAGACTGGGACACACCTCCTGGATGTATTAACTTGTTCAGGGTGGCAAAAGTTCAGGCTTGTAAAGTCACGATTGGCTCTCAGCAGAAATGTGCCTCGCCCCTTAAATGCTGATTAGTTGGGCTAGTGAACTGGAGCAACCTACTTTCTATCACAGATTGTCACTGAATGAAAGAAATTCCGTTATCGTCATTGGTCCTCAGCGGTATTTATGCATCATGCACCTTATGGTGGTTAGTATATTATGGTATAATGCATAGGAACTTTTGAAATTAAAAAAAAGCAATCCATGATCTTACCATGCACCAGCACAAGCCTTTGCATTCGGTTTTGTTCCTGTTTATAATGTGCTCCAGCGTAGATTTAATTTGTTACTTGCTAGCTTGGCCTCAGAACCTGTAGCTCTCAGCATTACTCTAGCTTTCAGGAATAAGTCTCACCCCGGAATTTAGGAGGCTTTGGTTTAGATCTTGGATGTTACAGATCTGTGAACAGTGTCTCTAGTTTAATTAGAATGCCCAGATCCCAAGTGCCAGAAGCACCAAATAAAACGACCATGAATATTGGGTTAGAAAATACTTGTGGGAGATTAATTATTAGCTGGCAGCGAATTTAATTATTCAGACGACACCCTATATTATGAGCACTTCAGCAGGTTGTATGTACGTTTCTCTATCACATTACAACAATGAAGCTGTATTACAATGACAGTCCACTAGAGGGAGGCACGGGCAGCTCAGAGCTGCGATGTTTTTGTTAAACACTTGAAACAACCTTTTCTGGGGCAGAGAAATTGATTTATTCCGCCCATTAATAGGTTAGAGTTTGTTAAAAGTAGCAGCAGCTTTCTCCTGCTAGGAACATAATATTTGGCGTGAAACTGAGTGGCTAACAAACGTGCTTTCCTGAACTTATTATCTCAGGACTAAAAAAGTTTATTGAAAACTAGATGGGCTTATTATAGTTAAAATATGACTTATAATTTGTATGACCTTTCCAATCACATTGAATTTCACTTTTAAGTGGCAACCGACCTTTTGGGGAGATTTCTGAGTGATCCTGCAAACCTGCCGCTTATTAAATGTCACCTTCATTGTACAACATTTTTTATGTTTACCTTGCCAGGAAGGGACATGTATAAAAATGTGTAAATATCAAGGGAGAGGCTGCTACGGTAAGATAACTTTGCTCTGGTCGTGAACACCTGCTTGAATGATGTTCGCAATGTAACTCTCTCATAACACAGTACTCTAAAGGGGCACAGACATTGTGAAAGGTCGCTCTTGAGTAGCAGGAGACCCTTCCAAACTCCTTGCCAAGCATTTTTTATTGTGCTACAGGTAGTAAAAGAGTTCTCGACACGTCATCATTTTTCTGTGCTTTTACCTGCTCAATTCCCCTTTCTCTGTTCATTCTCAAACATCAAAACAAGGTCGTTTTGCAGCTAAGGATGGAGGTTTTTCACAGACACAAATGCTTACCGAAATAATTGTTTGGGAAGTCAGAGCTATACATCAGAGACAAATATAACCAACACGTATAACAGACCCCGAGACCCTTTAACGCTGATCCTAGAACCAGTTGAATTTTTTTGATAACATACACAAACCAAACATGTTCAGAATTTACCCCCATGCTACCTACCCCTCCCATTCCCAACCAGTGATTGAACTGGTCCGGACATTTTAATGAAAATGAAATTTCAATAAAAAAAATAATAAAAAATAAAATTGTTCATGATTTCTTCCCTCTCCTCTGTTTCCTGACCAACTCAAAGCAGCAGCACGGTCTTATGGGTGCAGCTCTCTGCAAGGACCCCTAGGCCTGATCTAAACACAGAGTTGCATGACTTTAACCAAAGCCATGATTCTAAACTGATTTTGTTAAATCAGCACAACTTTGTGAGGACACTTAAACTGATTTAAAGCTGACCTATAGCAGTTTAGCTTGCCCCTGTACGGTCCAATATAACCAATTTTAAACCAGTATTAGTGTGTCCACACAGGGGTTTGCACTGGTTTAGCTACATTTATGTATAGACAGATCCCTTTTGACTTTGGAATTCTCTTCCGCTCCATTCCAAATCAGCCCAAATGTATTGACCTGCAGGGCAAGCTCTGCAACTCTTTTTTTTTTTTAAAAGCGGGCTGTGGGGTGGTGCTTGGAAAGTGGAGTTGCCTTTGGGAACTGAAGGAAACAGGGAGTTTGGGTTGGGTGATGTGACTTTGCTGCCTGACTGGTGTGTGCTGGCTGGGACTTGGGGCTGTTCTGGTTTTCTATGGTTCTGACCTGTACATTCCATTGAGGGCAGCGTGCCTAGAGCTTGGGATAGGCATCTTTTTCTGATCTTAAATCAAAATAAATGAACATCACATATTAAGGGCCTGTCTGCAATGGGATATGTGTTCTGCTGTAGCTACACCGAGGCAAACCTCCCGCGCAGCTGTAATAGCAGGCTGGCACTGGGGCAATGGTCCTATACTGGGCGTTGCATTATAGCTTCATCAGTACAGACATCCCCACTATAGACAGGCCCTTAGAGTCATAGGGCACCATGCCACCCTGGCATCAGCTGGCACTCCTCCACGTAATTTCAGTTGCTCCTGTTTACCCCAGGGGTCAATTTGGCTCTAAGTGATGAACCCTCCTATATCATTTCCATGACAAAAAATAAAATGCTACCCTCTGATTGTCATTATTTATTCTTTGTCTGACCATAGCTCCTAGGAGCCCCAGTCATGGACCCCAGTGTGCTAGGTGCTGTACACACACAGAACAAAAAGACAGTCCCTGCCCCTAAAGCGCTTACCTGCCACAACTCTGACACCCAAGGCTCCAAAGGGCAGATTCCTTGACCAGTATTTTTTCAGTTTCCCAACTTACGCTTCCATGGTTTGAGAAGACAAACTAAAAAGAGGTAGAGAGGAGAATTCATCATTTCAAGTGGAAATGCTTGAAGATCCCTATTAGCAGCTAGCTGTGTGACTGTATTATATATTGTGTGTGGCGGAAGACAGTTGTCATTGATAACTCACTGCACTTAGCCCTGTAATAAATCCACTTTTTGTTTCTGTTGGTCATTCCAGCACCGTATTCGAACTACACTGCTGCCTCATATAATGAATACGAAGGCAGAGCATCAATTCCATGTGTGTGCATGCACCCGGGGTCTCTCTCCAAGTGGGGAGAACACCCCAT